CTATAAAACCCGTCAGCAATGGATTTCTAAGATAATGACAATTCCAGCTTACGACGACCTCCAATACAATACAGTGACCTTTGCTAGACCGGTCGTACACTTTCACTGTATAGACCGACATGCACGATGCGCACACCGCCACGTCCGTAGTTATTTTAGCTAGATTTTACTTAATAGAATATTAGTTATAGACATATATGTACGTATAAAACTTTATCTATATTAATATTGAGCTGTGAAATTATACTGACTGCAATACGATATTACTAGCTAGTGAGTACAAGGCACAGACATATATTTAGATAGACGCCGCAAGTACAGCAATTTGTATGAAAACCGAGCGTGCGACATTTTCAGTGTTGCCGTTGTAGATAATTGAAAGTCCCTAGACGGTCAGAGATTTTCCGCTAGATTTAGGTAAAAATAATTTCCTTAAATCCACTAGATGTCTCTAGACATGGCGGTACTTCCATGCTCATTTGAAAATCGAATTTGATTCACAAACAGTAAATAAAATTGCAAATAATTACGGCAATGTGAACCAAAAAGCACTTATTTTAATTTAGTTTTGAACACAACAAACAAGAAATAATTATATTCATCTCATTCTGTGAGTGAAAAAATTTAAATCAATAGGTTTTTGTCTTCCTCATTCCTAATCGCAACGAGCGAGAAAGGCATCAAACGAACGAATGGATGTTGAGAGTTTGTTTATTACAGAAAATTACCGTTCAGTCCGATTCTATGTCAGTGTTACCAGCGTTAGACTAGAAAATTGGCCGAATATTACTAATTTACTCTATTTAATTGACAGGTTATAATTTTTGTTCCTGAACAGAGCCCAGCGGTCAAAAAGACGCTAGAAGTAGCTAAATATTTTGTAATTTATATTTTTTAATAAGAATTTTTACGCGATAAAAATTCATAAAATCCCCTAGATGTAGCGACAAAGATGCTAGAACGGCAACACTGCACATTTTATGTATCCACCATGACGTCACAAGAACTCTTTAGTGACGGGAAACCTCCTTCCGCGCTAAATCGATTGACTGAACAGAATACAAGTAGTCGTGAAATATTAATATAGTAGAAAAATACCAAAACAAGATAGTTATGTCCTTTATTAAAAATTGTTTTTCTAAAAAACTTGATTACTTAACAATTTAAACTTTAGTTTTTAAACAACTTCAAATATTAAAATTATTGTCCTGGAAATAATATAAGCTTATTATATAACTGTCCTTTTTGTAATAGAAGATCATATCGATTGACTTAAATAATGAAAACTCACGGCTATATATGAACTTGCGACTGTCTTAATTAATTTTACTAGATGGTTTTCTGTTGGTAATTGATCAAATTGATGAATGGCAAGACAAATGAAAATGTTACTACTGACAAAATATGGTAAAATCTTATTAATCAGATAAGGTTAACTTAATGGTGGCCTCGTGTGAAATTTATGTTATTTGTTTATTATTTCTCGGATTCCTAACTCTGCTACTCTGCATATTTGGATAGCATCTTAGGTGGGATAAACTATACCACCTTCGTTCTCGAAAGCAACGAACTTATACGTATGACCAACTCCAGGTTTTTGTAAAGACAGCGCACTGTTAATTCTTTGCATTATATATATTTTTTGTATCACTCGTACTACGCATCCCGGGATGTATGTAATTATTTGTTCACTATATTCGGACATTCGAGGCAACGTGCTGCAAAAATTATCGAAATTAAAGATACTACTGGTAATAGATACTAAAAAACTGAAAAAACAACAAAACGTTACTAAACGTGATAACATAAGAGTTCCAGAATATTTTTATAATATTGCTAAGGGCATAATAATTTTCGTCCCTTTGTTTTCAAAATCGATCAAAATCGAGAACAGTGTTGCCTAACGTATAACATCACTAAATATTAAATTTGGCCAAAGAAATGTACAAGCGGCCGTACCACGGAAACTTGCATTATACAAAAGTGCGTTCGTTCGATATTCATGGCGTATTAACAAATGATCACAAATATATCGCACCAAGTAAAAGCCGCAATGTATTACAAATCATGAGGCATACACTGGGTTGCATATTTGTTTTCTCGAAATTCATTCAAAACCAAAATAATTGTTTTTAAAATAAATTAAGCATCTTCTGATTACCAAATAACTTGCCCATGAAGGAAACGTCCTTATTTACCCGTTTACCCACAGTTATGGTGCTTTTGCAGTTTATAATGGCACAATTATGCATTTTTCGCGTTGTCGACTGGTGTATATCTACGATAACGGTCGAGCGCGAACTGAAGTGTAGCAGCGGCAAGTAAGTGAATTTCACTTAGTTTGGGCACGCGAAGTACGTACACTTGCGGCGCCTACCTATATATATGTCTGTGGTACAAGGCTTTTTTTAAAGGTACTTAGAATATCAAGCCGTATACAATTCCGGACATATAATTGGAATTACCTTGCATTTTTATTTTTCACGGCTAGAATACAAAAATATTGTTAAGTTTTCCCAGGTTTTATAAATTTGAATTTTCAATAAATACATACGAAAATTAAGTAATTTAATTAGTGTAGTTTTTGACCAATTAAACAATTTTTTAAGCATAGGACATTTAACAGTACCAATGGAAGGTGGCTCGAATTACGTGTCTGGGACTGTATTACACTTCGAGCTTAAGGAAAAGACAATCGACTTTGGTTTTGGTTTTTAACCGACTTCAACAAAAAGAAGGAGGAGGGTCTCAATTCGACTGTATTTTTTTTTTATGTGTATGTTTCGCGATCACTCCGACATTTGTGAAAGGATTTCGATGATTCTCTTTGTTAGTAGTGGTTTTTGATGAAAATATTCCACTCTAAGGGTGAATCCGGTTTCCGGTAACCGATTTCAATAAAACTTGGCAAATAGATGCAACGAACACAGCAAAAGCGGATAAGCAAACTTTTGCGATCTTTTTTTATATAAATAAGTTATCTGTTCTAACAACTTTAGACGAGACTGAAGACTATTAAAATGACCGAACCACAATACCTATACATGTTATATTCGGAACAATGGGTGACAACTATAACTTATGCATCGACTTCAATCTATAAAGAGATTCAAAAGATTTCGGCTTGAATGAGCCTTTGATACATTAACTAAAACTCCAGCAGCTTATGGTGAGCTCTATAATGGTGCATCAACACTGGGTCATCTGCTGACCTACGGCAGACTAGTCTTTTATAATAAAAAAAATCTATAATTATGTAAAACGTCGTCTCTCATACCAGTTTGACATATTGTCGTTAATTTCTCAAGTGTTTGATCAACTTGCAACGAAAACAGCGCTCTACAAATAGAAGGTAGCCGATTATGGCCGGTGTGTAACATTTACGGTTGTAATTTGGTGTGAAAAATTATCGGGAAAAATTGCATGTAAAGTAAGAAAAAAGCGACGAAAGGTAACTAACACCATTAAGTAATACAATAATCCCTTTTAAGTAATACAGGTTACCAAACCTGTATTAACGTAAGCCGATAACTATCTCGGTGTATAATTGATCGACAGGAAGGTAGCAAGGACTTGCAATTGACACAGAAAGTTTTTATCTGTATGATAGGAAATTTATGTGATTTCCCGTCATTGACTTACAAATAAATGGACGACGGGTCTAATACAAAAACCACGAAAAAAATGTCCCAAGTCAACCTATATAAACGTAGTGACATGTAAAGGAATATGAAAAAGCTAAAACGTTGAATTTAAATTGTAATGTCATCGCAGTACTGTCTAATTTTGCTTGCTTCGCTGTCAGTCGAGCAAACGAAGACTAAAGCGTGAATGACGCTCTGTATACGATTTTAACGCCCTATAAGTTCAGACACTTTTTAGCGCGGACCTGACGTCCATATAATTGTAAGTCAATGTTTCCCGTCATAACTCAGTGGTTTCAAAGGTAAGCGTGCATAAAGGCTTTGTGCAACGTAAGAACATTGATTGCTATGTAGCTCTAAGTCAATGTTGTCACAGGGTGCATGAAATTAAAGTTCCCGGAACTTCATAACACAAAGTTCCTATCTACAAGAATATCCTGTTTTTCTTGCCACAACAATGAATGATTACTAAATACATTAATGCTTAAGTTAATTGACTCACTAATTAGTTATTAGTTTACAGTTCGGATGTTTCAAAACCTGATCAGACAATTATTTCTCCATAATTACTCGTAAAAAAACTGACTTGGCAACTTCACTCTGATAACGGCTATCCGCACTGTAATGTGTTACTCTAGATAGTAACCATCCGCATGGTGCCGCTAAACGAGGCCTATGTACCAATGTTTTTAGTAACTTTATTATATCATATTGGCTACTTTATTTCTCGATATGTGTCATTCATGTATTGATCGTGAAATCAAATACTGTCGCAACTCAAAATTGTGGAATTGGGAAAAAACGATTTGAAAATTTAAAAAATATATACTGAATGGCACTTATTGTAAAAATAGTCTATTACTATTTTTATTTATACATAATACACACATCAAAATTATTGTCTAGGGATCAAGCACGTTTTTGGGCATGAGGATTTTTAATTATTTTTTTTTTAAGCTGATGGATTTTTCGGTCATATCCGATAATTTGCATTTGAAAATGAAATTGACCATCCATTAGTGTTTAAAAAAAAATTAAAAATCCCTATTTTCAGAAATTAGCAAAAACGTGCAATGCATAAAGGGATCAATCCCTATACACTTTTCAATCAGTAATTTTCTGAACTTTGAAATAGTATTTTCTCAATTTCACAATTTTAAGTTACGACAGTATTTGGTTTCACGTGGGATATATCATTAGCAATCATAAAGTATCATCAACGAAAAAATGGACACCTTTTTATATTACAAAAACTTGAGACAAGTTGAATGCAGGACTAGGTATTACTACGACAAGTTCCATTTGTTTCTTTTCGTTGTTATAATAAAGTATAATTGTTATTGTTTTGTAACTGACCTTGGACAGGAAGAGCAGCAGATGGTACTTGATCTGTCCACCGAAGATTTTGGAGGCGGTCTCGTGCGAGAACTCGACGATGTAAGGCATGCTGTTGACGAATACCCACTTCTTGATGGAGTCCTCATCGATCTCTTTAGCCTCATATTTCACAAGCGGATCCTCGAACTGTTGGCAAATTTGGGAGTTATTCTTCGATACTTATAAGCTATCTCAATTTCGTACAATACGTGTATTGCATGGTAAGCGACCAGAGATAGGCAGTGGGTTAAAAGCCAACCAACCCGTCCGGGTCTTAACCCATTTCTGCTCAAAATCCATTCTTAGGTATTACAAAATTTTGATGAAAAAAGAATCTTTTTTAGTCGAAAAACGACAACTTCATACAATACCCGCCTTGCAATCCTGTGGCCTCTCACTTACTACTAGGGATGAATCAGAATCATTAATGGGTTTTAACCCGATTAAAACCCAGGCGCTCAACCAACTCTGTAAACGACTATTTACATTCACACGAACCCCTCGCAGGATGTGTGCTGCGAATTAAGATAATTTGCCTCACAAACTAAAGCGACTTTTCATATTTAAGCATTTGTTTGGTCAAAGCTTTACTGCAAAACATGTGTAATCGTATCAATTCCTATTACAAGCTATGGTACATTTAGTTAATTTCGAAGTATTAGGTAACTTGCAATATTATTATGCAATTTAAAAAAGTTAATATTTTCCTAACTTTGGTTATAGACGGTCCTAAAATGTGGATAAAAATATCTACAAAATATAATAAGACTAAACAATAAATAACTTTGGAGTGTACACATCGGTACTAAAGACCGGTTGACCTTGGATAAGTTTAATGTCATCACAAAGGTGCGTGTTTAATAAAAAAAATGACATCTTTAGTTCTATTATCTTGCTTCTGTTGCAACTAAGGTGTTCGTATTTACGACCTGAGCGGCGTCCTGGTTTGCATAGTAAGCGCTAGATGAAGAGGTTCACAGTACGTTTCTCGGTAGTATCCATTTAAGGAAATTAACTTTTCTAAATTGGTTCATGTTTGGCTGTTCTGAGTAGTGCCCATATTACAGTGAATTTTATAATTTGAGACCACCTGCGGCTTGATTTTGATTGCCTCTCCCGATCGGAAAGTGCGTCTCTTCCGAGTCGAGGCGCATATTTGCGGTTCACAACTAGCCGATCGGAAACTTTTGACATTTCGAATCGGAACAATAGTTGATTTAACTCATAAATTAGAAATATAAAGTAGGAATCAGGGGGTCTACTCTCGATCTCCGTCCGACATCCGTCCGAAACAATTACTGCCAAATAAACAATACTTGAAAAGACGCGTGATATTAATGAAGCTTCATACTTGATACTTGTCTTTTAATTTTGTCGAATATTACTTATTTGACAGTAATTGTACCGATTTGAATCAAAATCAGTCTGCAGGTTATAGGCCTGGAGTGGTTCGTTGTTAGGATGATTCTTATTATCAATTATTATATTACATACGTCAAATTACATAATATACGAGATGCGACATTGGTAATATTAAAAAAATTTAATATTTAAAGAATCTTGTTCAGCAAGACTACACTTTTAAATAATATTTTTAAGTACTTACATAATTATAATAAACCAGCTTGCAACGTTACGACTGATTTGACGAGAGGCTCAACCATGTGTGCGCTTGCATATAAGAATGCCAAAGGATCCCATGCCCTGCCAATCGCTGGGGCTAAGTGTCACTTAGTCTCTTTTTCAGCGGTTGAATATGATTTTGTACAAAAAATAGAGTTTCGTCTCTACATTACATTCAGAGCTGTTTATGTACTTTTAAGTTGGGAATAATGCCGTGTATGTTTAAAACAAAGAACATTGGTCGTTCTTTGTGTAACCAAACTCCAAAAAATGTGTAGTCTGATGTGCCGTTGTCCGTACATAACAGGCAAATGTTTCAAAAGTAAGGATTATTCAGTAAAATATGCCAGACAACCACACTTATTGCCTGGTCACAAACGAGGGAACTTAACGCACAAACTATCACACACTCATAGCACGCACTAGAAGAGAAACCCTGTAGCGCGGTTGTCATGGACACACACATAGGCCACCACAAATTACACCCAAAGTCATGAGAGAAATAGAATCCAAATCGAGACCTCTGCGTGGCAGACCATAAATGCTGGTCCCCAGTTACTATTACTTAATTTCCTATACTCTCGAGTACCAGAGCAACAGAATAAATTCATTCTGGGGTACATTTCACATGAATGTAAAGTTATGCACATTGAAGTAATACATTATACATCAGACTCTAAAATGTAGCATTTGCAATTACCATTCGGTTTTCTTCAGGTTTTATTACATACGCGACGTCACGGTTTCAAGTCAGTTCCATTAAAAAAAAAGATAAAACTTTAAACACGTATCTAATTAAAAAATTTAAACAAGTTTTACACTTATCTATTGTAAGGGCAATACACTGCTGTCTAACAAATGGCAATTAGTAGGAACACTTTTTTTTTAAGTTTACTCTTATCTATGGCCAATTGAGATAGACATTGTCATTGTGTATTACTGAGTGTTATAAAGTCCATGATGGCCAGTTGCAACCTCTCTTCTTAGAAGACCATTAATGACAAGTTTATGCGGTAACCTTAAGACAAACTGCATAAAGACTACTTGCAACTACTGAATATTAATTTATCAGATGTGACAATTAACAGTTTCAGTGTCTTAGTATTTATCCCTATTTATTATATTGTATAAAATGAAAAGCAAATATAAATTTTTCACAAAAACAGTTCAAAAATTATACAAACAGTTTTAATTGGTTGGGTAAATTCACTGCAAATACATGTTTTCAGGAAAAACATACGAAACTTTAGTTAATGTATATGTATGTATATGTTAATAATGTAACAGCATAATTTTACCTTATAAGTAAACAAGTAAGGTAAATTTTTGAATGCTGTAGTGAAATTACATTAAAATAATATAGGTTATCAATGCAACTGACAACTTCAACAAAACTCGATAAGCTCCATCGTTAGAGTGTGAAATACTTAATAATAATACTTGAGTATTAAAAAGGGGAATAGCATGTAACACATCCATTTAAGTAAGCAAACGAAAAACACAATAATTCCTCTTATTACTGTACAATACAAGTGATATACTTTTAACATAAAATTGAAAATTTATTATGTGTGCAGATAAGATCAAAGTTTTTGCTTTTAAAAATGATAAAAGTCCTTTGGTGTCTCTAAGTGTGGAGTTTTCCATCTGCCTAATAACAAAAATGATGCACAGAAAATATGAATGGTCAAGTTACTTACGTTTTTAAAGAGCACCAGGTCATTAGCCTGAACTTCTAGCTCCTTGATAACCTCCTCAGAACTGACAATAGCAAACACCTGGTCATCCACCTGCTCTGCGACATTCAAGAAGCTCTTGGCCTTGTCTGTGGTTTGGTCTGGGAAGAAACCAAAGACAACAACATTGTTGGCAGAGATCAATTCCTTGGCTTGTTCAGTTGAAGCCACTACGATCGCTGGTGGACCGGTCTTCTTCTTTAACCAGGCAACAATGTCGTCAGCTTGGCGTCCACCTGTAGGAAATATAACATTTTTCACTAAGAGAATCATCAATGGTGTCTGTGACAGTACCTAGAGTTACGTGTGAGTTTCTAGCGAACTAGAGCAACTATCCTAATTTGAGACTATGGCAACCACCACACAATCCTGTGTTAAAGTTCTTTATACAGGATATTATTCAATTAATATAATCAATTGAGAAGCATCAGAACCAAAATTGTTAAGTCACTTTTGACTAGTTCTTGTTATTTAATGCCAAGTGGTAGTTTTTGCGCGTTTCTACAAATATTTTATCCAATCTATTCAGATTTACGAGGATAAAAAAAATTTTTGTGGTTGCTACTCCGCAACCACTAAATCCGCTTTCATAATATGTTTGAAATGCACAAATCAGAATACAACCTGACAAAACCATTCAATGATTTGTTTGTTTGTAAAGTGTAAGAACTACCTATTTAAATTAGATGTGCCATATTAAATGCTTAATTAAATATGACTCAAATAAAACTGTTATCAGTCACTTTAATTCTTAATTGGTCAAGTGTAATGACTTAATTACATGAGTGACATCACATCTAGAATGTGTTATGAAACTCGTCTTTAAAAATGACAGCTGTAATGGACAGATACTTGGACAGATGGTCAGAAAAGTATGCACATTATTTAATATAGGTATATTTAAAATTCTAAATAAAATTTTAGATAATTGTACTACACAGTCTTGTACACATTTTAGCAGGTGTATCTAATATGTTTAATATAGCATGAAAAAGTTTATAAAATACAGTAATGAAATCTCATAAGAGTTAATAACAAAAGTACCACAGCCAATCACTGTTGATAACATTCATGAATTACATTTTTCACACTTAAAATAAGCTTGAAATGAGTAGGTACGGACAATGGCACACCAGGTTGTCTACACTCAATCTCCGTCCGACATCCGTCCGAAACAATTACTGTCAATTAAGTAATATTCGACAAAATTAAAAGACAAGTATCAAGTATGAAGCTTCATTCGCATCACGCGTCTTTTCATTTCGTCAAGTATTGCTTATTTAGCAGTAATGGTTTCGGACGGATTTCAAACAGAGATCAAGAGTAGACCCCCTGACTACACATCTTTGTTCGAAAACAGAACAAGATACGTCAATGTGGTAGCTTGATGTGCTGGCGTGTGTACACTAATATAAATCTTATAGAAAATAGGTAAGTACACAAGACTTTCAACAATACTATTGAGATTAAAGAAGAAAAATGATGAAAAAACTAGTCTTTCAAATATTTTTTAAAATTGATGAAAGAATGTATGGTAAGTGATCTTACCTGTGTAGTCAACAGGGTTTCCATTCTTGAAGAACTTGAGAGTAGGGTATCCTCGAACACCATAGTTTTCAGCCAATTCTTGCTCTTGAGTGGCATCAACCTTGGCCAATTTGATGGCAGACCCTTCTTCGAGTAACTTGCTGGCAGCCTTCGCGTACTCCGGCGCCAGAGACTTACAGTGGCCGCACCATGGCGCGTCTACACAAAGACAATAATTTACATCATGCTATATAATTTGAGAAGAAAATTGTGCTGACGTACTAACATGTGCACGACACCGGCAAGTATCACTTCAGACACGCATTACACGATTTCGCTTACTTCTCCCTAAGACGAAAGCCGGCAACGTAATGACGTGTCATTACCCTTGCAAGGAAAACTAAATGAATAAACTAACCCTTATAAAGTCATGCGCTGATAATCTAAACAAGAAACAATAAAAAGTAGTGGTGTAAACTTACAGAATTCCACTAATATGTAGCTTGTAGTCGATATAACACTGTCAAAGTTGGATTTGCTGAGAACCAGTACGTCGTCTTCAGTAGGCACTTCGTCTCCGAGTGCGGAGCCCAAAAGGGCTATCGCTACGGTCAATAGTAATACACGCATTTTGAAATAGCCTGACTTGGAGAAGGCTTACTCGGAAGACGTATCCCTACAAAATGCCGAAAAACGCCACTTCATTCACCAACACTCTGTCTCACTTGACGTGGCAGCGTCGAACGTGTGTTGGGCAGTGATTGGTTAAATTTGTTTTTTTTTACGCCTCCGTTCACAAAATATCGGTTTGCTCACAACAAAACAAATATTTTTTACATTATTATCAAAGACATTATAATTATAATAAATCTAATGAGTACATAATAAATCACTATTTTAATATATTGCAGATTTATGAATTTAATAAGATCAAAATTTATAAATACCATACAATTATATACCTTCTATACAAATATTTTCATTAATTTTATGTTCGGATATTTACCGTAACACGCATGTCTCGTATTTTATTTTCAACGATATCGTAATCGCAAAAAAAAGAGATGGCGGATTTTAGTAGTTACATTTTTTACACGAATTAATTTTTAGTTTATGTATGTATATTACGTTGTGCGTTTCTTGATTATTTGTTACCAAGCTGGTGGATCTGAAGCCAATGCTTTATAAATAAATAAATGAATAATAATCATTATCGCAAAATCGTATACGAATGGTTGTCAAAATTGTCAACAAGCAGCTGATTACTCTTCGAATGTCAAAATGATTCGAAGGAATATTTACAGTGGCAGAATTGAAATGATTATTATGGTGCTAATATTTTAAGAAATAGCTTGAATTTCAAGTGTGAAGTTCTTCGCTAGATTAAATGTACATCACAGGCATGATTAGTGAAAAATGAGGTAATTTTCAGTCATAATTTATGTTTTAAAAATGTTCTAGCATTAGAAAACGCGACAATAAATTCCAGGCATTATATTTTCCAATGTCAGCCGCCCGTTATCTAAAAGATGTATTCTGAATTGTCTTATGGACAATTAATGGGCGTAGCGATTGCAATTAGCAATAAGGTAAGTATTTAATCGTTCAACGATATCTATGTACTTAAAGCAACAACAACACTTTAAACATTATCGTGTCAATATATCTATATTATCGTCACATAGCAACAAGGTCCAGGGACAGTATTTAGTTATGTTAAAAAACTAATTTGTTATTCATAATTGTCTTGTGAATCTCAGTCTTGAATTTTCAGTCTATAGAAACATAACTAAAATGACATTTATATAAGTACACAGCCTTGGATACAATATAACTTACCAGAAATGTTTCTGAATGAGCATTGGCGCAATAGTAAATAACACTGGCACTGAAACCATACTAATGGGATTTATTTTAGAACTAATAAAAATTGGAACTTGTCCAATTTTTCTTATAAAGAATTTCTTCTCTTCCTACTATTACAGCACATAAGACTGTCTTCAGTTCCATAAAATAAAGATAAAACGTTGTGGTACGTTGAAAAAAGCTTTAAAACTCAAATTATAATAATTTAACATTGCATTAATATTTCATTCAATGTGTTCAACATGTAATAAAGCCTGATGTTAAATTAGTAGTGCCAAAAAGTGTTGTGGCATTTGCCATTTTCCCTTACAATTACTATTGTATTATTTGTAAAGCTAATTGCTCAGGCTGAGCAATATGGCTTTTTTTTATTAGTGAAAATTATTATAATATTTATTTTTAGATGCCGGAACTAACAGTCACTTCTGAGATATATGAAGAATATGATTATAGGAGTAAAGTACCACCAAGTATTGAAGGAAGTAAGTAAAATAATAATAACATTTTTTCATTAATTATAATATTTTTACACCCAGCTTGTTGTCCTTGTAATGTCTATTTGGGTATTCCTTTGTTCACACTCTCTGAAGTATTACTATTATTATAACTTCATGCAATTCACTATTGCATGCAGAAACTGAAATTTTGTTTCATAGTACTTGTTATTACTAGTCAAATGTTATGTAAGAAAAATGGTCTCAAATTAAAAAATATATTATTCTGTTATTGTGTTACAGATGTGATCTCAGAATTTCCATTTTTACTGCCAAAACCAGGAAGCAAAGCAAAATTTGACGAAGATAACGATTTGGATATGGAAAGACCACAGAAAGAAGTTATAAGGATTGGTGAGTATTCATGGATTTCTAGAGGTCTAAAACACGTGCCTCAATATGAAAATAGTTTTAAACACTACGTGATTATTTTAACCAGTGGAAAGCGTGTTCCCATTTCATAATAAAATTGAAGATTATTCTAAATAAACTTAAAATATAAACTGATTTATTTGTGTTGGGCAATGATTTTATTTGTAGTTAGGTCACTATCCTTAAAAGCAGAGAAGATTATAACTTTAAGGACAATGAAAATGGAGACATGAATAGATTTTTGGGGTAAAAGAAATGAAAGGATTTTTTCCTTCTTGACTTTTCCATTATGCAATCCTGTTTTTTATAATATGATTACAGTGGCAGTGTTGCCAAGTACACTAAAAAAAAGTTTCAAAGTTGCTAAAAATGTATCACTCGAAAATCGACACTTACGATACAATGAGTATCGTAAGTATAATTTCAATTTAAATAGACACCAAAAAAATGCAATTTTTTTGGCTATATAGAAATAGAATGTCGCTTTTGAAGTAAAAATGTCGCTTAATCTAGTGACAAAGTCGCTAAGTTGGCAATTAGAACTTCTATAATGAAATTTTATGTAGTTATCTCCATTTTTCGGCAGTGTAATATCTGTAATGTCTATAAAACATGACAAACGTTTTATTTTTCTGTGGATGCAATGTGCAAAATCGCAACTTGGCGTTTAATAATTGATAAAGTGTTAAGTAATTTATGAAAAAAGCGGTGGTCTTTAGTTAACAATATACATAAAACGCTCCAGGTTTTGCTTTGATAACCTTGCATTTTTTGGAAGCCTAATGCTATTTATTCAACACAAACTGGTGCCATCCTGGTACTGGTTGACGTAGGGTAGGGGATTATGAGAAACTTCCAATATTGTTTCAGAACATAGCGCTAAAACGAAAATAGCACTAGTAGGTTTACAAGTATGGCGCGGGGCGTTCCTACTCGGCGACTTGCTCATTCATCTCGGTTTGCAAGGAGAACTGCAGAACAAAATTGTTATGGAGTTGGGAGCTGGAACTGGACTAACGAGTTTTGTTGCTTCTATTTATGCTAAGAAGGTTATTTGTACAGGTAAAAATGTAACATAGTTCAAGTTCACTAAGAATGACGTACAAATATATTAAGTAAAAGTTAAAACAAAACGTTGTTACAACGGCTTAGGGCCCCTGTACTGACGCGTAATCCTTAGTATAGTCATGGACTTGTACCAGTAACTCAAGTAGACTGCTAATCTCCATGTTACAGATCGTAACTCTGGAAAAGGTCAAAATTCTCTTATATCTAGATGGCGCTGATCGACAGCCCGTAAGTAGTTTACGTTATGTAAATTGCGGTTGATATCAATTAATTCCTCTTTGATATGAAATATGTGGTCTGGTTTTTCCTTGTAATATTATTGACATATTTGTGACGGTGTGACCTTACATCGTCATCCCACCTTTTTGTATCGCTTCTCTTCATTCGTATCGTATCGTTTCTTTCTTCTACTAATATTTAAATTCAAAATTTTGAATTGTTCCATTTTACCTCGCATTCTAATTTTGTTTCTTTCCATCGTCACTCTCTACCCGATCGCGGTAGCGAACATATCTCTACTTATCTTTTTGAACCGTTTACTAGCTATATTTATACAGTGTACATTTTAAAGATTATACTATATTTAGGAAATGAAACTATTTTTCCGGCTTTAAATCGCGTGTATTTTGCTTTTTTTTTTTAAAAAAAAACTCATATTCGCGATTAAATCCGGAATAGTTTCATTTCCTCGGTGTAACAATCGCGAAAACATAAGAACTCGATATGTAATATATTTGTTAAAACCAAATAAATACCTATAAACTGGACTTTCAACGTTTGAATTGCTAAACTTACGAAGTAAGATGTATGGAGGCTGCTACTACGTTCCATCCAACAGGACCTAACGCCACCAGCACCAGCTACGCTTCTACACATTGATTCTCTTCTCTTCTTCCTGTCCTTATCCCACGCTAGGTGGGGTCGGCACATGTATTTTTCTTGCACTCTCCCCTATCAGGTAGATGACGCTAATCCTAAACGAAATAAAAGAATAGCTGCAGTGTTCATAAAAATGTAGGCAATAAGCGCCATCTAGTTGATTTGTTTGTTTTCACTAGAAATTAGAGTAGTTTTGATAAATTGCAGCTCGTCAATGTAAAACAAATTTGTTACAAAAATACTGCGCGGTTAGTGGGCGCTTGTGCGCTTTTTTTCATAAAAATTGTATGTGACGTGTACTGCCGTAACCAGTAAAACAGGAAAGGTAAAGTAATTTTTTTTTATTTCATTTCCTTAAATATTATTTGGTACTCGTCGCGACATCTGGTGTACCAATAGGTACTAAATACTCGACTACGCTTTCTTGTATCGCGCTTAGTAGTCTCTTGAGTTATTGATCCATAGTTGATTTACACTTTAACACAATACGAAAAGTATATATTTATCATGTTTTCATCGTGTTCAAAGTAAACATGTGGTCAATTTATTGTACTTCGCAGATTTAAAATTAAATATTGAACATCAAGAAAAAATCGTACGATCAGTCAGGATTCAAATCTATATCTGTTCTCCTTCTGATATCCAGTCGAAACAAATACTGTCAAATAAGTAATATACTCTACCAAATTAAAAGACAAGCTTCATTCGCATCATGCGTCTCTTAATTGGGTCGATTATTACAGTAATTGCATCGGACGAATGTGGGACGAAAAACGAGATTACAGGGGACCTGTAACAAACACTTCGAGAACTTCGTAAGGTCTGCTGATTCAATCTGTGGGCAATGTGGCCCTAGTTAGGCATACAGATTCAGAGTCAGATTGAAAGAATTTTTCTTTGTGCTCAATCTTTGTATTATAACAAACTAGCGAAGAAATTTCACAAAAATAAATATCATTGTAATGAAACATCATAATTTATTAATTACAATCAATATTATATATATGTACTTCGGGTTATTCTCTATTTTTCCTCTTCACATTTTATACAAAACATAATATATGGGCGAGAAGGAAGTCCTGGGTTCAAGTCCCGGTAGGACCAATTCGAAAAACCAACTATCCTAATTTGGCTATGGTCTAGTGTTTTGGGTAGTGTTTTTATATATAATTACTCTAGTTAAGTACTTAGAGTACAGGGAATTTCCTAGTTTGAGACACAGTAATGAATGTGGTTGTCTAGCTAAAAAATATGCTCTTTCAATTTTTCATTCAATAATAATTTTGCTCAAAGTCATATATTGTGCTTAATTGATTATATTTTTATTGATTGATTGATTACGTCATATCAGTCATTTTATTTAAAAACAAATTATTTCTTACAGATATTGACTTAGGAGGCATTCTCGCTTTAATAAAATTAAACGCGCAATACAATGCAAAACTGATAAAGGCACAATTTAAAATTATGCAATTGGACTTCAAAGAGACATGGAATAAAGAACTTTCTAACGAGATTGAGCAAACTGACGTATTTATTGCTGCAGATGGTGAGCAAAAAAATCACGAAACTTGAACATATTTTCTAAATCAGTTGTCTGTAGTAAGAAACTTTATTTTTCAGTAATATACGACGATGACGTCACTGCAGCATTCATATCGACTATACAGAAAATACTGAACACCAAACCTCCTAAAACGCTGTATGTTGTACTGGAGAAGCGATACGTATTCACTATAGAACATCTCGATAATGTAGCACCATGTTATGAAACATTCCTCAGTCTACTAGACAAGGTGAAAACAGAAAACGCCAAAGCCACTTGGACCGTTGAACAACTACCTCTCAACTTCCCCAAATATTTCACCTACGATCGCGTTAAGGAACTTGTTTTATGGAAAATATCATCCAAACCCTTTTGAAAGACACGACTGTGATAGTAAATGTAAGGATTAAATAAAAGACAAGATAGAAGAGATGTACTATGTATTTAAATTTCTACACTCGATATTTTGAAATATACAACTTTCCAAAATATCGTATTCGATCTTCAAAATATAAACGCTAGACAAAACGCGACATATCATAATTTAACGTACAAAATAGTTGTAAAAAAATAAATTAGACATTTAAAATAAATTATCTATTGTATCTATTGTTATTGTATATGTCCAAGTTTCGAAGCGAAACTAATTCTGGTGGAGAGGCACGTATATCACTAAGGACGCCATTTATATCTAGACTTATGGTACTTATTTCTGAGTGGGCCAAAATTCGTTGTACTTCGTGAGGAAAGTTTTTCTTAGTTCAGAATTGCGGGCCTGCTGGTCCTTTTCCTTGCTGAGAGTCTCTACACTCTGTCCTACACAGCGGTCGCCAGTGAAATGGATTATCACCACCTGTGTGTTGAATGTTACATTCTTGTCTGCTTGCTTCGAGTAGTTAGTTTGAGGTCCAAACTCCATCGGGAAGGGTAGCGTCAAATGTTCTGTTAAATATATATTTAAATGATTAAACAATATGACTCGGTTTCCCTAGGTGAGAAATTTTTATGTTACTAGCGGCATTAAAGTCTACAGCCTTCATAGGGTATCGGTGAGCCTTAATACTGCCCTCGTAACGAAAAAAGGCACAACTATGCGTACTTTATACGGCAGTTGTGCCTTTTTATGCGTACTTTATACGGCAGTTGTGCCTTTTTACGTTCCGAGGGCAGAATAATAATCGTTCTATCAAGGGTACTGTCAATGCCGTTCTGGTGTGCTTCAAACTTGTCCTACAGAAATGGCAATTCATGGTTCGCGGTTTGGCTACTTGCCTAGGTAATAAATTAAAACTTAAAAAAAAACCGACCTCAAAAATTCGTGGACATCTATTTGCCAAATTTTATTGAAATCGGTTGCCGGAAAGTGCGCGAAATCTGATTCATCCCCTAGTTTGCCACCCTTACTCTAAGGTGGAATATTTTCTTCAATTTTAAAGAGACCAATACTGAGGTGTTTCTTTTCAACATAAAAAGAATCATGAAAATCGGTTCACAAATGCCGTAGTAATCACGACACACATACACACAAAAAAAACTACAGTTGAATTCACACAAAAAAAAACTACAGTTGAATTGAGAACTTTCTCTTTTTTTTGAAGTCGGTTAACAATTATGGCGCATTTACACCAGGTCGCCTTGTCGAAGACGACACAGTCGACACGCCGTTTACATCAACACCGAATCGTCTGCCACCTTCGCTTACAAAGTCCTTATCGTGTTGAGGCGCGGCCGCATTCACGATGGAAGTTGCTCAGTCGACCGTCGCTTGCCGAAGGCGACCGTGTCGCCAATAACGTTTACACCTAATCGTTTCGGTTGTCAGACGACTCAGTACTTACACTAGGAATTGCCGATAAATATTACGTAGTGAATATGCTTAATTATTAACTGAGTAATGATAAACTTGGACACGCAATTTCAAATACTTTGGTTACCTTATTTAAACGTACCTGTCTCAAATATAACAATAAAAGTGCTTTAATATATTTTTTAAATAAATCTTCAATATTATTCTAGTTAGTGAATTAATGAAAAATACAATATTATATCGATGTAAATACCTACGTAATGAACGTGTGTAATTATTAGGATTCTATTAATAGAATTAAAGATAATAAATAGATTTGCGTTAGAACTTTCGCTATGTTGCCGCTCTGACCAAGTAACATAAACGAGAAAGTGCTGGGTAACCCTGCCACTTTATTATTATTATTGTTTTTATTTATTTATTAATATATAATTTATTATCTATCAATAATTTATTATCTAGGTACTTGGCACTCTTAAATCTAAAGGGTTTGTCTGAGTGTTGCTCTACTCGTAATATTTATACACACATCTTAAACATACAGACAAAAACTTCACGCACACATTTGCGCGTGTACAGATAGCCCCTTGCTGTATGTAGTAGTAGTAGGTAAATAACTTTCGACCGTTCTATGAGGTGTGGTGGGATGTCCGGGGTGTGGTGGGATGTCCGGGGTGTGCTCGGGGCCCTGGTGTAAATGCGCCATTAATTATACAAAGGGGGAAAGCTACAGATATTATTCGAATTATTATGATAATTACTAGGTGAGGCAGGCACTAACGTGGGTTGACCTCCTCAGCGCCTTGTACTGAAGAGTCACCTGTGCACTCGGGCCCGCACCGACCATCCTTCAGAATGCCTCTCATGGTAGTTAGTTTACTTAGCGCCTTCTCGCTGCTTTTACTGTTATGCTCGTTCTTATGCTTGTCTATATTTCGCAGGAACTTTTTCATCTGCCAAGGTTTAGTAGAAACATAAAAAATGCAATAAAATGAAAAAACGATTTAATCAAACACTATTCGATGATACTAGGAAACACACTCACAGTTTTGGAAATCTTTTTAGGTGGGTCTGGATATGACATCTTGGGCTCCCCCGGGTTGCTTCCGATCACATAAAGAGTGCTTTTTGGTATATCAAAATCAGAGTACACTGAAGGCTGCCCGTCTACGGTCTCTTTTGGTCTCCCTGACATGGTTGAAGATTTGCTGTTTGTTGGTTGGTAGGTAGATTTACCAGCGCTTTCGGATTGAGTCTTAGGCATTGTTTTTTTCTTGAAACTCTTATGTTTCTTCTGAATCGGTGATTCATCCTCATTCGAGAGGCTCTCCTCGGAAGTGGAGGGGAAGACCTCGTTCAAGCTGAGGACTTCCACGTTACACTCCTCGAGAACGGTCGAGTTAGGTGGTTCTTCAACTTGACACAAGTGATCCGTTGAATGTATGCTAATGAAGGACTTCTGCCCCGAACACAAGGCTGCCTCTTCCTCCTCCCCCAAAGCGGAAGGCTTCTTACTTACTGTAACTGAAACGTTTATTGCTCTATTACGGAGTACGCAGCGACTAAACCCTTACAAATCGAGAGTACGTACCAGCGTAAGTTCGGCTCTCAGTAACGTTACAGCTTGTTATTTCTCCTACGAACAAAACATGTACTTCGTTATTTTGACACTGACTTTTTTTTCGTTTACACCAAAGCGAGCGAAACAGTTAGTTACCTTCATCATTTTTTTCAGCTGCCTGTAAGTCTGTCCTGCTTTTATTGGATAATTTGTGGGCATTCTTCGTCTGTGACATATTTTAACAACAAATTTCAGTATGTGAACTTTGTCAAATGGCTTTCCATTTTTCTCTTTATTGATAGCTCTCTTGACAATTCCAATTTTAACAATTTATACAAAATAGATTGCATGGCCTCGACTGTGTAAACAAAAATACTTTGACCTCTTTTTTCTGACACCTGTTCGTAATCTTGAGGGCCTTTCACGTGTATCGTTACTTCACTCTACGTTACTTCAGGATAGTTATACCTATATATACAAAAAAAAATTTAGGAAGCATAAAATTCGGGAAAGAGAATACGAAAACATCAATATTGAAAATAATCGTTATATTTGATTTAATAAGTACAAGTAATTTACTGAACTTCATTAATCAAAATTGAACAATAAAAAAAACAAAATACTAATGTGGTAATTCCGTATAAAGTAATGTATCGGGAAGACACATAAATTAATAAATGTTTAAAACTTCAGTCACACGATGAACCGCGAACCTCCAAATCAAGTCACCCAAGTTTTTATACTTTATTATTCTGTCTTAAAACCATACGACTGAACTATACGTATCATTCAAAATTATACCGCACGCAAAATCATGAACACATTGTCACCTAAACGTATGCCTATAACAGTTAAATTTATTTACGGGACGAAGTCTTTGTATGAAAACGATCGCAATATTTACTTATTATTTTATTATACACAATGGTCATCACAATACGGGCAGTCCACGAGATTAACGCCAAAACCATACAGAAGGCTTACTTTATCCGTTAAAAAGTCAATGGTTAAAACTATTTAAAACCAATGAAAGGCTTCTCATTATGTTGCACCAGCACGCTGACACGTATAAGAGTGCTTTTCCACAAGGCGTATAAGAGTGCTTTTCCACCGGCGAGGTCAGACGAGAATTGAAATCTCGCCAGCCTATTTTCTAAAAAGTTGCCATTAATAGCTATAGCGAGCTCGCGGTTGATATTAAATATGTTGACGGAAGATGAATCGGATAAAGCAATCTTTTTTTTTTAAATCGTACGTATTCCACATTCTCGCAATTTATTTTAATAGCCATTGCGACCTCGCGCGAAAAATCTTGTTTCCGTTGCAGCGTTACTCTATGTAGGCAGCAATACGGTTCAATATCACTTCAACAAATATTTCAATTGTCAACTCGCACATCCTCGTCAATCCAAACCATTTCCACCGAAGATGCGCTAGAAGAGAATTGAAATTTTACCATATAAACTTCAATCCACGTCTCGTCTAGCCTGTGGAAAAGCACCTTAATAGGTCCTCCCCCTATAAACGTTGGTTCTGAGTATTGGCCAGCATGAAGAGCATTCAATATGCAAGAATGGCATAAAACATACCTTTAATATGCCATTATTTGGTACTACAACTCGCAGTACTGCATAAATGCCACAACTCATATTCGAGAATAATTTGCTGATATATCTTGCTTGATGTTGGTGTTTTAGAGCTAGAAACTACATACTATCTCTTGCCTACCATAAATCGCGTGGTTTTGCGATGCGCCGGGTACGTCGTACGACATAGTGGCACGATGTGTGTACGATGCAACGTGCAGATACGTACTGAATAGAGCAGCGTGGCCGCTCAGTACGTTACCGCGTGAGCCGTATGAGACTCACGATTTGATGTTTGAAAAGCCCCTTAAGCTTTGGCGTCAACTTCCAAGATACCCTGTCTTCATATAAGCTCAACCTAGCGATTGTTATTGGTTTACTTATCTATGAGAACTGCATAAGTACAAAATGAGTCAACATCTGTAAGGCCATGTATTTACAGTCTTGTGAACATCCAGCGGTTACTTCAATCAGATATTAACAATACACAGAACTTCACTATACAAATTTGCTTTGGATTTTGTATCAACAATTTATTTCAGTTTAGCGCTGTACTTTATTAAAGCTGTACTTTATTTAAACTCCTAAGCTAAATCAATTTAACAGTCTAATCGTCGCATCGTAATCCAATGAGGTACCAATGTCTAATTCATTGCTAAATCTTATAATGCTAATTTTCATATCAGTACAGTATTATGTAAGTATATCGAGAAACGGTCCGACGTGCTTGAAAATCACAGTATCAAGTAAGATAATATCAAAGGTTTCATACGACAATATTGTTTGTTAAATTCTTCTTTATCGGCCCACACAGCATTCGGAACAGACTTTAAAATCTCTACACGACAATCATCTAACTCGACTATTTCATCCATTTCATGGACCACCGCTAACGCTAAAAGTATCCTAATCTAAAACGACATCAAGGGCAGTAACGAATTTATATTACTAATCACAAGACAATTTTGATTAAAATAAAATTAATAGTACATTGATATGGCGCCAATAACATTATGCAATAAAAGTGCAGATCATTAAAATTTGTTCTACGGAGGGAACTCACAAGTGACCCCAGAAGTAGGCAATCCAAGTTTGTACTCACGTCTTCCATGAGTCGAAGCGAGAGTTCGCTTTCGGCTGAACAAACGCTATACGGAGCTTTTCCGTTCCGTTATAGAGGACCGTTTACGACTCTGTATACTGCCCGACGACATCTTTCTTTTGGTTTCTCCGTTGCTCGGCCCCGGGCTCGCGGACTTGTTGAAGTTGCCCGCACTGCCCATCCTGTTGGCGTTTTGTAAATTGGAGATCTTCCTTCGCACCGAAGGTGAGGCCTCGGCGTTGTTGAGCTTGGCAGTGGCGACCTGCGGCTTCTGCTCTATAGTGACGGGCTGTTGGTACTTGCCGACGGCGTGCCAGCGCTCGCGCTGCGCGCACAGCGCCTGGCGCATCTTCTCTTTGGCCTCGGCGTTGTCCGCCAGCATTTGGTTGAGCATCTGCATCGTCTGGTACAGCGCCACAGGACTCAGCAGCCCGAAGTCGTGCAGCGAGCACATGTGCAGGATGAAGTTCCTGTAAAGGTTCTTCTCGAGCAGCTCCTTGCCCTTGATCTGCAGGAACATCTGGCAGGCGACCGGGATCTGGAAGTCGCCGACGTAGTTGTACTTCATCACGTGGAGGTTCCACATCTTCATGAGCTCCTTCTCGCCTTCGTTCACGTCGGTGAATTCGTCGATCATCATCATTGTCTTCTGTTGCAACCACAACGGGTCCGTCTCGTTTTCCGAGTCGATGTCCAGCTCGTTGGGGTACACGGGGAGGCAGGTGATAGTATGGTGGTACAGTCTGGAAGGAGAATATTACCTTCATATCTCTATCGCTCGCACAAAGTAAGACAAGGAATAACGAAAGTTAGCAAAAATAAGGTTACCGGTTGTGTCCTGTGATATAAGGCCGCTGGGCCTCGAGCAGCTCGGCGTCGTCGAGTTCGAGGAACTCGGCGAGGCTGTGCTTGTGGTGGCGGCGCTTGGCGCGCGGACGCCACACCAGCACGTGCGTGAGCGAGGTGCGGCGCGTGGGCCCGGCGCGGGGGCCATTCGAGGGCCCACCCGAGGCCGCAGCCAGCGCAGAGGCGGGCCCGGCCGGGGCTCCCGCGCCGCGGCCCTGTGCCGCAATCAGGTCGTGCGGCGAACCCGTGTATGATCCATCGTACAACTCATTTATCGACACGTCGATGCGTGCGCCGCCCGGGATCGGCTGTAGACGGGAACGATGCATCCAAATTAACACATTCACCCTCGAGCAAAAAATCGAATGCAATGGTTCGAATCGTTGAAAAAACAAATACAAAGACACGACAACAAGCACACGAAAAATTCGTGAGGTCCGCTGGTTCGTTTCGTGGCTTAGTTGGTATAGCGTCTGGCACGGTATGCTAGAAGACGTCGGTTCGAATGAGGCCAGATCGAAGGAAATTTTCTGAGTATTCGATCGTTGTATTTGTAATTATAACAAACTAGTGGAGTACTTTCACAAAAAATAACTGTGTATCAATTCAATAAAAATTTTAAATTGAATGCAAAGTTTGAAGCTTGCAAATAAAACATAAATTTCCAAATAATAATAATAAATAACGCACACACTCAACATAGCCCCGCACTAGGGAAACCCTGTGTAGCGGGTGCCATGGACACACACATAGACAACCACAAATTACACCCAAACTCACGAGAGAAATAATTGTAGGCCATACAGTTATGTCTCCCGGCCCGGGAATCGACCCTGGGACCTCTGCGTGGCAGTCCGGCATGGTAACTGTTCGGCTACGGAGGCAGTTAAATAAATGCAGTATATTACTTACGAAGTAAGTGAAGTTAAATCGCGAGTGGCAGAGCTTGAGATGTTTGAGTAGTGAATAGAGTGTCCCGCAGTCGAGGGAACACCACGGGCAATGTAGGTCGTCACACGCTTCTGTTTGCTGCCGCGAGTTATTATTGTATAAGAATTGATAGATTATTTGCTGTTTCTTTGACTCGCCTTCTGATGACTCTGTTTTCACTTTATCGCCTGTCAATGTAAATAATACAATCATTTATCAATACTATTTTGAATACCTTCGCATGCTAATTTTGCACTGCTTTTGATTATTTTGATCTTACAAATTATCGAGTAAAAATTGACGCGAACTATACAGGACATAAACAGAACTATGTCTGTGTTCTCTTTCTTAAAATGTGTCATTGAGGCAGCTATTGTATAGATGAGTGTACTACAAGGTTCAAATCTATGACCATTTTTTTATGCTTTCATTAAGTCTATGTTTTTTGCCAGCATGGTAAAATAAAAGCAATTATTTACTTACCATTTTTATTATCACTAAACTTTTGTGCGTTTTTCTCCTTATTAGATTCCTTTTTCATGCCATTAAATTCACTTTGCTGATACAATTTAGGTCGATTCACCAGCCCATTTGTTGGTTCCTGACTCCAGCTTAGTTTTAGTTTCAACAGAGGCCGTACTTTGAATATGTCAAATGGGTTTGTTTCTGTTTGGAGATCGTTATCCTGAAGAACATTCATAAAAAGTCCAATTAGTACACGTAAAATTGGCGCACGTCGATGTAGTGTTATAAAGCTGTTTTAACGACTTTAATATTAGATACAAAGTGTGACAAAAGACAAAGAATGGGAAGGAATCTATAAATAAAGTACATCAAAACATTATTAACATTTTTGAATATTTTCATTAAACCAACCGTATGTATACTAAATTGTAATTTTCGTCTATATATAGTACTGTCATCGCCAACCTGGCCAGCATGGCAAAAGCCAATAATAGGAAACCCTCCTTGGGGCTGCAGAAGCATCAAGGTGAGGCCACACTGCAAATTACATTGGGAATTGACCCCAAACAGCAAGTCCGTACAGTTCTTTTATCAATAGAAGAAATTACTTTATCAAATTCGAATACACAACTGAGTCCATTTTAATTTGGAAGTTATCTTTGTTTTCGACAGTTGAATAATGCTAATGTTATTTGAAATTATAATTTTCTCGCTCATTACATTGGCTAAGGTTACAAACATGTACATATATGTCAAGAACTGTATTACTTTTGCAGTAATGACAATTATCTCGGTTCCATAAAATTGGAATGACTTGAATTTTACAAATGATACTATGTTTTACTTACACTAGGAATGGTCTCCCATTGGGCCATGAGCGCTTTATGTGGAGAGCGCGCGATAGTAGCACTGCGGCCCCCAGGCGTGGCGTCGTGAAGCACCAGGTCATACTCCCCGTTAGTCAGTAAACAGCGGTTATGTTTATCATATACTATTAGCTCACTGCCATATAGCTTCGTCCATTTACTGTCCGGTGTAGAATTGAGATCGGTTGACGATTTCAGCCGTTTTGTTACCGGTTCTAGAACAGGGTGGGTAATTTTTTGTATGTTTTATATGTAACAAAAGTAAGTTTGCTATTGTAACAACAATTAGTCACACCATTGTCATCAATGAAAATTTGTCACATACAATTTTACACATCATTAGAAGCATAGGCTTAAAATTGCTGGTATATGTAGACCAAACTACATAAGTGATCATAACATATGAAGAGTATGATGAGAGTATGAGTACTGTAAATGTATTTTATCATTATCATTTTGATACAATAAAATTATAACTATAACATTTGCCATCATAATCATTAGTGACTTGTCTAGTACTAACAGTACGGTACTTCCAGAGCTCCTAGTAGTATTTCATTATTTGGATACAACATTTCCAACCAAAATAAACAATAACCACCATTAGGGATTTCACTGGTACTAGCAATACTTTATTATTTTGATACAAGAATTTAAATTAAAATAATTAGAACACTCACCATCACAATCACCATTAGTGATTTCACTAGTACTAGCAATACCATTACTGGTACTCCCAGAGCTTCTGGTCACAGTGACTCTCAACATTAACATGTATGACTTCACATTAGGTCCCTGAGAAGGGCTGAATGTGTCACTTGAGATGCTGACGGCAGAGGCCATAGCTGGAGGTTCTGATGTTGATGGGTTGAGAGGAAGGGAACAACTGCCAACCTGAGGAGTTGGAATGAATGACATACTTCTATCTTATTGTCTTCACCATAAAGTTTATGGGCAGCTAAAATTTTTTTTTTTTACACTTATACGTAATAACAGCATGCAGTTCTAAAAATAATGTGCAAGTTTGAAAATTCTAAAATCTGTGGTACAAAGTACTTCACTGCTCTCTTTACCAAAACTTTGTTTGGTAAAGAGAGCTAGTTTGTTGTGCTAGTTTGTACTGTGAAGTAACAGTGATCAGTAGCTGAAATATAGCAGCCACACCCTGTATAAGACTAATGTAGTATAGTTTAGCCATAACAATATAATTTTATTGGTTATAGGTTAAATTTTAATAGTCAAACTACTATAGATAAAATATTTAATGTCATAATAATACTGTACTTTCATATTAATAAACTAAGGAACCTGAGGTCACCCCTGACTTCATTCGTTTTTTGTTTCATAGATAAGTAGTTACTTGTGGATTACATGGCTTCAGTCAAGAATTCAATATATATTATCCTTTTTATCACTATACAAGTGATTTATGTAGAAGTTATTCAATTAATTCAACATGAATAGATACTAGGATAGACTCAGGAATAATTCTCTCATGTGCTCATGGTAATGAACTGAACAATTGGCTTCTAAAGAAACAGAATCATTACCTAGTAAATATTTGAAATTGCATATCATTATTCTTATTTCAAGTTCCAAAGTATGTCATTCTTGAAAATATGTTTTTAGTCTACAAACAAATACCACATTACCTATGTTAAAAGATTGTCACCTAGCCACGAATATTTTGAAATTAGTTTATGTTTCAGTAAATGTTAAGATTGCCATAGAAATAAAATTGCCATGAATGATAGCATCATAATGATAGTTTCTTGTATGGAAGTAAATGTGATTATTAACAGAAACTTTAAATAATTATAATTTGCACTAAAACCTTCCATAGGATGTAGCTATAGAGCAGATATCTCATAAAAATTAATATACAGAGTATGTTTTATATAAAAATTGATATACAGAGTATATTTTATTTTAGTACTTACAGAAACTTCAACAATAGCTGAAGAGCTCTCTTTCCTCTTTTTGTGGCATATTTTGAGCAGCAGAGTCTCCACTTTCACTTGGTATTCTCTAGGATCATCCAGACTCTTGTCGTAAAAGCCTAGGAAGGTGAGAGTCATATAACCTCCCAGGCAATTGGGCTGTAACTCTGTGCTCTTCTTCAATGAGATTTTCTCCAATAAACAGTCAACTTTGAAACCATTCCGGCTTTTATTACTCCTAGACATACGCCGCTTCATGTACGACAATGTCCTGTTTAAGAATATAGGCTGCAAACATTAAAAATCCCATAAAAAAGGTTCCCTAAAAATAATTACGAAAAGCACTAGAAAAGAACCAAAAATACTCACTGATAGCATATTGCGGGTCCTAAGGAATCGGTATATTTGTGTCGGCTCTGAAAATGTAATTGTATAAACAATATCACAAATTATTCATAGAAAAATGGTTTACATGCACAGCACCGCTATCTAACTTACTTTCAAACGCTTGTAAAAATAACTCATGGTCAGCCTGTAGGTGGTCAATCTTGGAGTTTTTGTTTGTTTCATTGTCTTTATCACGTTTCTTCGGAGGCATATCTGGATTTTTTTATCTAATAAACTAGTGAAACCGCCAAGTTCATCAGTTCGTTGACTTGACAGCGTCTGGTCGAATAGTGATGCGCATTTTATATGTTCGCTTAGGGATATTAATTTGACCGACGATACTTATTCAATATTTTACGGTGAAGTTTAGCAACATCCGAAACCTAATAATATAAAGTATTTTTAATGAAATTCTAGTGTTGGTAAACTTTACTGCTATGGCTTTAAATTTCACGCTTTGAATATACAATATTTTTAAAGTGTCTATAGATTTTACTGTGCAAGCAGAATCCGCTTGAAAAGTATACATATAGCAGCAAATTTTGTATTAAGAGTAAAATGAGCCAATATTGAATTGACACGGGTAACTTAAGATATTCTGTTACATATCCAGTAATGTATTTGTGATTTTATTGATACTTCCTTGGTTTTGTAAGTGTCAATAGTCGGTAACTATTAGTTTCCATTTGGAAGACCGTTTAACTGTTTGTCGGCTTGGATACTACAATAAAGGATTTAAAAGAAAGTACAAAAGTATATTTGGTACATGTCAATTGTCATTTCCAAAAAATGTATGTAAACATTTTTTGGCTTTAGACGCCACCTATTATCATCGGCTCCCTGTGGTAGTCTTTTTGGACGAGAGTCACCAAGGAGAGTGTCACACTTGCCAAAAATATTCGATAGTGTTTTATTTACGGAATTGTCATGTCAGCGGATGGAAATTGTTTGCTCGGTTTGATAGAAGTTATTTGTAAAAGTACGATAATTAGACCGCTATTCACGAAGTTCACGAGGCCGTTGTATTGTTCGTTAGGGGAGCGATAATTTCCCCAAAATTTTATAGCTGTTGTCCGAAAGTAAAGAAAGATAAATGCATAGGTACATCACTATTAGTGCCAGCTGCAGCCATGGACAACGGAAGCGTTCCATAGACATTATTTTTAAAAAGTATATACAAAAGTGAAAAAAAAAATGTTTTTGGACGAAACTTTATCTGTCATTATTATTTTCATTTCGGCGGCGTACTTTTATTTCATTAATTTCAGGAATAATAAAAAGTTTTAGCCTCTGCTTATGTTACTATTATTAACTAAAATGTTATGGTAAAATGCAAAAAAACAATAGAGAGAGAAGGAATCTGCGCAGAAAGATTAAAATTCTTCAGAAAAGTGCCATTGAAAGAGGCCTAAATGGGGTGCTTTTGCAAGAGTACAATTTTGTCTGTAATTATAAGCATGAGGCTGCGAACAAAGGATCAAATAAGAAGCTGATTGTCGCGATTGTTACAAGCTTCATAGTGGGGGTGATAAGCCTTTATTTTGTGAACAGTATTTTAAGTACAAGATGTTTGTTACCCAGTAATTATTTGGTGTGGGAAGCGACGCGGCCGCTCGCCGATTGTGCCTATTGCGGCAACGTTACGAAACCAATAATATTACGGAACATCTCCCGCCGCGAGTTTGTTGTAAGATAATTGCTATTTCTCTCATTTATTTTTAGAATTTTATTTGCTTGGTGACTGTATTAACATTAATTTTCAGAGATATGCATATTCGTCGGGACCCATTATCGTAAAAAATGCAATCAGGAAGTGGAAAGCAACAAGGAAATTCAGTTTCAAGTTGTTCCAGCAGCTATACGAAAAGACAGCTGGGAGCTATGAGAGTCTGGATGAAGGGTGCCAATTTTTAAACTTTAAGACTGACCTTTTTACCTTACAAGAAGTATTTTCTATGTCAGAGGCTAGAATTAGAAATGAGGAAGGACAGAAGCCCTGGTATGTGGGATGGTGAGCATAAAAATCATATTTACTCAACATACCCATGTTAATGAGAATCTATTATTGATTGAACATCATCATCAATAATTGTATAGAAATGACTCTTGTTTCTTTTTCATTGGCCAAAACAGATTTCAAATTCTCAAGGCATATTTTTCAGAAGTATTTTTTTTTAAATTTGTTAATTTGTAATGATCAAATCCTATCTCTATTGTTCTAGGGGAAACTGTCACCCCGACATCCTGGCTAATGTGAGGCAGTATTATGACATTCCAGAGTTTCTGCCGCTGGATGCTGAATTTCCAGCTACAGAAAACATATTCTTTGGATATGAGATTGGAGCTGTTATGCATGTATTATGCTTTATTTTTTCTTTGTCTTTTTGTCCAAATTATCAAAGTAAAATGACCCTTTTTTTTACTTTTGACTCATATATAGATATATGTATTGGGACAAATTCGAATGTCCTTATAATACTAATCATTGTTTCAAAAAGTAGGTTAATATAATTTATGAACTACAGTTTATACAGGCTGTATATTTGAAAGCGAGACATACTTATAGAATGCGTTATATTCTTGATTCTGAACCCAAAAAAATAATAAAATAATGAACTTTACAAAAAAAAATCTTTTTTTTATCGACTACTACTTCTGAACAACATTACTTATCGAAATCTATGCACACCACTATTATTGCTCCAACGGACGCAGCGGCGAGAACAAAGCACAGGTCGGCACTGTTTGCAGAGACAGTGCACGCGCGACCTTGGTCTAGTGAAGACACGTATTTGTACTTCCGCTCGCCCGAACACTGCGCCGGCGGCGAACGCGCCTCTCGCCTGCAAAATGGATATTTATTCTAACGTCGAATTGACTGAGATGGTGCGACTTTACGCAATAAGTGGTGATAGTGTGAGGCGAGCTATTGAAATGTTCCCAAATTGGAGTTTACATGGAGGAGGTGAACAGTGTCGAACTTGTTGCATAAGAGGATTATCTCAGCATTTTATACTGTGAGACAAAATGTGTTTGTGTTGATCAATTTAAAACAAAATTTACTATGACTTGCTAGACTATGCATTGTGGAAAAGGATGGACATTTTGAACACTTGCTCCATACCACGTAAGTGCAAATAAACTTAAATAACTAAAAAATCAATCATTGTAAATAATTTGATATCACATTTTTAACTACGCCAAAAACCTCAATTCTTATTAAATGATAACTTAATTATCTTTTTTATTACGTAAAACATTTCGATGATAGTTCATATGTAAAAAATAATTAACATAAGCTAAATCATAATCATTTCGATAACAGGTTTTTCATCATGACATAAATGAGTAGGTGAGAGAGCGATGTGAAATCATTGTTATTGTTGCTGTCTCACTCGGCGCTCGCTTGGTAGTATTCCCAATGCACTCGAAATCAAGCGTATAGGGAATCGGTTTATTCCTATGTACACTGCAAAACAAATTTGTTGATTTATTTTTAGTTCTATCTCATATCCTAATTTTATTTTAGTCTATGTCAAGTTATAACATGATTTACTATGACATGCATGAATATGTCTCATTTTCAAATATACTGCCTGTATAATGCACATGGCAACTAACATAGTATTATCTCAAAAATTGTGTTATATCATTATATTATGTGTCATTTGTATGATTTAATTTCAAAGACTGTCCCTGAAATTAAATCGTATATCAATGAAATATATTATAATATACATAATGCAATTTTTATGATAATACTATGTTAGTTGTCATGTGTGATATGTTATATAATTTCGCAATTGACAACTAACATATTTTATAGTATTATCCAAAAATTGCGTTTTATTATATTTTATCTCAAAATTGCTTTATATTAATAATTAATCTCGAAAATTTTGCTATATTTCTATACAACTTAATTGCAAAGTGACAGGTCAACACTGTCGCTTTGTAATTAAATAGATATATTAATATAACTTACAGCAATTTTGAGATAATACTATGTTAGTTGTTAAGTTTGATTTGTTTATTAGGCTCCAGTGCATGCAGTTATTTAATACATACAGCATATTTTGCAGTTGGACTATATAGCAAGATTAATGTGGCAGGGACAAGTCAAAGGAAACAAGACATGGTCACTTGCCCCTGTGCCAGAATGTGACCATGTCTGCCAGAAGTTTGATTTCTATGTAGAGCCAGGGGATGTTGGTAGGTGGAATTCAAATATGAAATATACATAATCTACATCAAGAACTAATGTATATCTGTTTTGTTTTAGTGCTATTGGATACTAGAATTTGGTACCATGCAACAAGAATCCCGAAGGGTCAATTCTCAATGACTGTCCAGTCCGAATATGGATAATGGCTATACCTCTTCTTTTTTCTTCAAGTACAAATGAAGTATTTTACTACATATCGAAAATGCCAAATTTTTTACTATTCCTTATTTTATTGGAACTATTTATTTCTATGTACTCTTGTGCCATTTTTATGTAGTGCAACTACTGTTAGATATAAGTATCAATGCAATATTTTTATTTATTATTTTTCAATGTATAGTTGTATTTGAATAAATGTTTTACAAATTTTACATG